ATTGCCCGATGCACAGTACACTGTTCGGTACTGTACATCGGCAACGCTATACAGTACTGTACTAATGCAGTACAGTACTGTATAGAGTTCCTCACTTAACGACCAATCCGTTTAACGACCTGGTCGTAGGAACGGAACTTGGTCATTAAGTGAGGAATACCTGTATTCATTATATAGTTAAAAAAAAAAATAACCCCCTGTGGGGTCACAAAAGAAAGCTCTATCTGTCCCCAAAAATGTTTAACATAAATTGCAAGGCTATAGTCCGGTTATGCTGACTGGTGAAATTTTTGACTGACTGGACACCGAAACAAATCGGCCGAAAATGGCACTTTTAGCATAATGCCAAAAGTGCCATTTTCCTGCCGATCCATCGGCGCATCACTGCTTTCTTTCCTCCCCGCTGGGCACTGCCTTGTGTCCCAGTGGGGAGGAGAGAAAGTGGGATAGCCGGCCGAGCGCTGCGGGAGGAGAGCGCTGTGAGCGGATGGGGTCTCTCCAAGGGTCTCCAAGACCCCTCATATCACCTAGGGACCCCCAGAGAAGCTGATTAAGCAGAGATCTGCTTCATCAGCTTCTGTAGCTGGAGATTGACACTGAATGCAGGAAGTGATGTAATATACATCACTTCCTGCATTCGGGGACTGAGGGGAGATCAAAGGGAGATCGTGTACTGAACTCCCTTTGATCTCCTGTCACAGAGCCGTGCCGTTCCCGGTCGCATCGGGCACAGCGGATCTCGGGACCGGCAATGGCAGTGACAGCTGCTGGTAATACAAGTGATTGGGCGTCTCGAGACGCTCGATCGCTTGAATGTAATTCCAACGGCCGGCCGGGAAGCTGCTCGTCGGGCTCCGCCGTCCTCTCGTCACAGACGAGCGGACAAAGTGGATTTTTCAAGCCGTGTGTGTATGTATGTATGTATGTATGTATGTATGTATGTATGTGTGTATATATATATAAATATTTACACTGAGTGGCCAGATTATTATGACCACCTGACGTTTGTAGGCAAATTAGCTATAATTTCGCGCTGAAGTTGCTAGAGGGCCAGACCATTATAAATAGGGAAGCAGGTTGTTTACCACGACAGTAGAAGTGATTTTTTTCTGAAGATATGGGTAAACAACGCGATTTAACAGCCTTTGAACGTGGGATGATTGTTGGCGCTCGGAGCCATGGAGCGAGTATCAGCAAAACAGCAGAATTCGTTAAATGTTCAAGAGCAGCTGTTGTTAAAGTGTTTAAAGACTGGATTGTCAGCCGAAAATCTGGGTCTGAACGTGTGAATTGTGGCCGTCAGCGACTAGTCAATGTTAGGGCAGAACGGAGAGTGGCAAGACTGGTACAAGACAACAGAAGGGCAACAGTGCAGTGTCAGATTCCTCGCATCACCTTTCAACATCTCGTCATGAGGCGGCCCAACGACGTCATCTCGTGGCCCAACGAAGTACTGATGGGGTGGTCATAATACACATACATGTGTGTGTATGTATATATTTACCACCTTGATTTTTTTTTTCCTATTGCACATTTTTGACAGTGAATGGGTCAGTGAACAAATAACTCTTATGTCATCTGTTGGTTGAAAAACGTTATCCAACACCCACTGGAACAATATGAAAAGCAAATTGTCCTTCTATATAAATAAACCTAAACTTAATAAGCAACTTGATCTGAAGGAACATCGCAAGCCTCATTTAGACAGCAAGTTTTTGTTCGCTTCCAGCAGGATTTGCACTCCCATACAAGTCTGTGGGAATGTAAAACCCACATGAAGTAGGTCAAGTGCAGATCAGAAGGAAGCCAACTGCAGGGCAAATGCACCTATCAATAGATACTTCTGAGATAATTATATTTATTTTGACTTTTGCTATCTGTAAAGTTGCCCGGTGCAAACATCCAACTAACACTTGGGGTGGGCAACTCTGACCCTCCAGCTGTGCTTCCCTCTGTCGCTGGAAGTCATGCCTGTAACTGTCAGAGTTTTGCAATGCCTCATGGGACTATTAGTTCCACAACAGCTGGAGGGATGGGAGTTTCCCACCCTGACCTAAATAGTCCCTTTATGTTCCCAATATAGGGCAAAGTAACAAGGTCATATAACTCCACCTCCAGCAGCAACACATTTAATCTTTCCTTCCTGACCCCCCTCTTTTTTTGGCTGTCGGAACAAAGCCCTGTCACGTGGGAGAAGGAGAATGGGTGTCATACTCCTCCATATCAGGAAGTATTTATCTTCACTTCCATTGGCTGAATGGAAGGTAGAGCAACAAAGAGAATGTGAACATTCACTGCTGGGAAAGGAAGACCTTAAATGGCCTAGTTAGAGTGCCACTTTAATGCCATGATCAAAAGATAATTATAAACAGTTAAAGAAAACGTTGTTAACATCAGTGGTACACAGATGGAAAAAGGCCTTTAAAGGCATATGAGGGGTGCTGGGAGAGAGTAGGAAGTAACATATGGGGAAAAATTAAACCCCCTCCGATGCTGCTTCTTCTTTAAGGGGATGACGTCAAGGACTTTTGAGGTTGATTTTCAGCTAAATGGAGAGTTTTGGGGAAATGTGAGTAGCAGCTTATTTGTGTGCTGGTTTAATTCCACTGATGAACCTTTTTTGATTGTATCCTGGAGTTGATCTTTAAGACTAATTTCTCTTAGGATTGAATGTTAGAGCATGTTACATTTGCGCTGCACAAGACCACTTAAATATCAGAAAATAACTTGTTGCACATATTGAAAACATTACGGTATTATTCACCACTATGTTGATACAGTTGATACAGTCACACACCACTCCTAAAGATTATGCATGGCTAGAGAGAAATTATGCAAATGTATGATTGTCCCACACCACAGTTTCCTGGAAGTAGGGAGGTTGCTAAAGGCAAGATAAAAGATCTACGCAAATGGATGCAAGGGATCAGGAAAAAGAAAAGTATAAAACTCAAAATAAAGGAAATTGAGTTTAATTTCTTATCAAGTATTGGTATTATTGGCCTATAAATGATTTTAAATGGATTTACTTGTCTCCTGGAATTGCTCTTTGAAGTTTGTATAGATGGCAAGAAGCAGTCGATTTTATCATCGAATGTGACCAGTATATAATCTGTTTAATAACCATAATGCTTCGATTTTGTCTTATTCAGTAAGTTGAGGAGTGTTTCAGTCCTTGGTGTCCACACTACAGCACGACATATGCAAGCAAGCCAGGAAGATTTTGAGAAAGCACAGAATGACCTGAAAACACTAAAAAAAGACCCTGGCAATGAGGTCAAACTGAAGTTGTATGCTTTTTTTAAACAGGTAATTAAATGTTAGATGTGTCTATGTGTTAAAGTATAGGTGCCTTGGTTAGTGGCACAAAAAGAAGAAAGCATTTTGCAGCTTTGTAACTATCATTGTGATTTATCCTGGCCTTTTTTGGCACTACAGTCTCGGAAACGATATTTTTCAGCTTCCTGCAGAATCAACTTGGTTCCCTGAGCACTGGCTCTGACATCCTGTTTTAGGGTGGTTCCTTTCCCTTGCAGGGTTCTAGGGAGCCTGCCTTGTATGTGCTAGTAAGCTGTGTGTGTCTCCACAAACACAGGCATGGCAAGGCAAGCTTCTTCCCTGCTCTACTTTCCTCCCTTCTTCATTCTCTAAGCTAGTAGATGGACAACTGTAGGAGTCTTTGCTGGAGTCAGCTGTTTGGAAACATGATGACTAATGTTTATTTGTTTGATTTGAATTCATTATTGAAAAAAAAAGTTTAGAGTTTAATATTACTTTCAAGAAAACACTGTTCACTGAGACACAGAGCCCTTTGCCTGTCCTGGTTTCCTCACACCCACCTGCATTATAGCCTGCTTGGGCCAAGTTTCCTTTCTGAATATCTGGAACTGCCTCCCCAACACTTTTTTTCAAAAAATATTAGGCTGTCGTTGCTGACTTCCTTCTGAAAATTATAGTATACTGACACTCTGGCCTTGCTTCTTTCTGAGCTGCAGACCTGGAGAAAAAGCATCCATATCAAGAAATTCAGAGTAAAGTCAAAAGACCTCATATGCACATTTGTTCTGCATTTGAGACTCTGAATTTTGAAACATGGGGGTCAGCAAGACAGCCAGATGACTAGCTCTGCAGTATGATAAATTAGCAATGGCAGTCTGCAAAGAGATAGATTTGTTTAAACCTTTTTTTTGCTCAAGCCCCGGAGTCTTCCATTCCCCAGTTCTCCACAGGCTGTCGTCTGCTGCTAGTGACTGTAGTTTGGCAATGGGAATTGGCTGATGACACAGAGGAGCACAGGTCTGATGTAACCATCTGAGGACTCAACAGAATAGTGTGGTGGATACAACAATTATACCTGGCCTGAAGATGAGGATATCATATTGATATATGATTTTGAGCAAAAATGCTCAAAATCACACAAAAAAGGGCAAAAAACGCACGAAAACTGCAAAGGCCTAGGTGTGAACCTAGCCTGAGGACTCTTCTGTATGTAAAAGATGTCTCTAAGTCTTCTGTCTTTCTTGCAGGCAACTCAGGGAGCTTGTAATGTTCCAAAGCCAGGAATGTTAGACTTTGTAAACAAAGCAAAGTGGGATGCGTGGAATTCACTAAAAGACCTACCCAAGGTAAATTACATTTATTTTTTCTGTTTACTTAAAATAGAAGTAAATCCATTTTTTTTATCAGATGAATGAGGACGATCTTCAGCTTCTGTTTTTATTGCCATCTGTCCTCACTGAGGTTTCACTGGGACAAGGGGTGGGGGGAAATCTCCCAGTACGGACAGCTAGCACAGAAACCGTAATGGGATTTGCTTTCAATTCCTGCTGTTTCTCTGGGATTGGAAATGAGAGGAAATCTCACCACCTGGGATACAAAGGGCAATAAAAAACAGACGGAGGTTTTAACCTTTCCCACTCTATTTTTAGGGGGGTTACGTTTAAAGAGTCAAAAAGTATCATAGCAAAACAAGGAACTAATTGCACACAGAAAATATTATTTACCAGCTCATCCTTAGGTTGGCAGTACACTTGTGTTCTAGTTGTGTCTGATAACCAGGACTGATTCTACAGGCTGGTCACTAGTAATTAGAAATATATTATTTACATCCATGCTCCACTACTACAACCTGCATTAAGCCTTACAAGCAATTTATCAATAAAATGTCTTTCTTTTTATCCAGAGTAACCGTATACTGTGAACTCAAACTTTACATTAAACTGACACTCAGCAAATACATTTTATTTAAAGTGTTTCTGAGGCCAACACTTTTTTTTTGTAATACAGCTCTAAAAGTCATTACATTTCTTGGAATATTTTATATATTTAGCACAACTCCACACCTATGGGAAAGCACCCTGGATATTATAACATATGCAGTTCTGGAAACACATTAAGTTATTTGTGGCTGGTATAAAATTCATGTATATTTATAGAATCCTCTAACTGTCCAAGTTCTTCTCACTTCCTGATGTTACCAGGCCAAGAAGTGAAGGGAAATCTCCCTAATGGGACACAGACAAAAAAGCTTCAGTTTCAACTAGGGATCCACTGAAATTTCGGCCACCAAAATATTTTGAAAATGGTATGGGCAAAATGCAGATGAAAATTCAGTGCATCCCTAGCTTCTCTCCTTCCTGCTGGATATCGGTCTGTGTCCCCTCTGATAGCCGCTGCTCTCCCTCGCCTGTGTCGGCAGAGGCAGCAGGTATCAAACGAGACACAGAGGATCCAGCTGCCGGCGCCCAGCGGGGAGGTGAGGAGCTTTCAGGAGGCGCCCCACCCAGCCTCCTGAAAGCACCAGGTGTGGTGGACGAAACCGCTTTCAGGATGCCGAGCAGGGCGGTGTGGGGAGGAGGGAGCTGTCACAGCAGCCGAGTTCTCCTCCCGCACCGCCCCCCACGGCCTCCTGTGACAGGACGAGTCAGAATGGTGAGCGGAGTACAAACACTCAGGGATCAGAACGTTGAGTGTTTGTAAATAACTGAGGACAAAGTATGCTTACTATGTCCCCAGTTATGAACAGGAAGTACTCTACATAAATACCTGTTCGTTCATGATTGGGGACATAATAACCCATACTATTTCCACAGTTTATGAATGGACAGGAGCACTCAGTATATAGGCTTCCTGATCGTTCATAAAAGGGGCTGCAGAAAGAGATTTAGGACTCTGTATCCTGCTTTTTTTTAACCTGTCACAATTGTTCAGTTCGTTAACGACCGGTGACGGAATAATCCCGTCCGTGAAGGAACCAGCACTCATTGAGGTACTGCTGTTGATGGAACCCTTGGGGTCTGAGGCAGACCCTCAACACTAGATTAGGTGGTCACAGTCCTGTGATCAAGGTGATCGCACAGCCGTGACAGAGCCAGTAGCAGCTCACTGTGTTTTGTAAGCGGTTAGCCGGCTGTGTGTGATAGTATCTCCGTGGAGTATACTGTATTCTACTCAGAGATACCAAGTATCAAAGCTCCTGTAAATAAAATTAACCCCTTAGTACCCTTTAGTTTAAAAGAAAAAAGTTTTTAAAAATATGTATTATTACCAAAGTTGTAAAAAAATGTTTTTTTTTTATTTTGATTTTTTTTGCATTTGTTTGTTTTTTAAATAAAAAAATAAGAATTTATATATGCCTATGTCGCTTCAAATTAAAGCCCATTTTGTGCTTTAAAAATGGTAAATAATATGTGTAGGTGCAATGCATGAGGAAGATGGACATTTTGGTTAAACAAACACATAGCAAAACTGGCAAAATTGCTCCGGTCCCCAGAAGCTAAAACATTTTCTGAAGCTGCGTCACTAAGGGGTTAAAAGGAAATATCAGGGCTCTGTTTAGAGCCCTGATATTTCACCTAACCGTAAAGTAAAAATAAAATAATTGTAAAAAGGTTGGAAGTCATTTTCTCTTTTGGCCCGACAACATTTTTATTTTCAGTTTCAGTCTAAAAATGTAATTTCGGTGAATCCCTAGTTTTCACGATTACCAGCGCTATCCAAAACAAAAAATGTTTTGGCTTTTGATATACTTTGACTTTATACCTTGCAATAAAACCTTGGAAGGGTACAGCGAAGCACAGCTGTGCTCAGAACTTAGTCATAGGAATTTCAAGGATGAGCAGTCCTTTTTAATACCTCAAAGGAAATCGAAACATTATTAATCCTCCATTTCTGGAGGCAATAATTAACCAACCTTGAATATTGATTATGGGAACCATGCCTTTGGTAAGAAAATTTAATTTTGAAGAGCTTAAAAGTATTCAATGTAAGATTAACTCCTTGGATTAATGCTATAATTCTTAGTGTGCCTATTATCTTAATTTTATTTCTGGGTTGAAACCTTTTTATCAGTTAACTTTACTGAATTTGGCAAGAGTTGAAACACATCTATAAACGAGTTATGCTCTACAATTGTGTGTGTTCTGTGCATTGAATTTAATTAAATGCATATTAACAGGACATTAGACAATACAAATAATATTTTCCTTCTTTAAATGGTTTACTTTTCTTTAAAGTACATCTGTCTTGAGTGAAATACACGGGCTGGCATTTCTGGCTCGCTTCTGAAAACGTTAGTTGCTTAGATTTGTTTTTCTACAATATGTCTGCGTTAAGCGCAGAACATGCCTTCAGCAAATGAAAGTCAGAGCAAAGTCAGCTTTACTTATCTCGGTGGTTGGTCTAAAGTCCATCATTTAGAAAGAGTTGAAGTAAAAAAACATTTGCATGCAATGTTGGAAACCTGAAAAAAAAGAATGAATGGCAGGAAAGTCTACAGTCAGTTTACAGACTGTATGACAGTTTATGGAAAAATTTAAGTAAACCTGTCATGAGAGAAATGTGGGCCCGCCATTGCTAACCTCTTTATAACATTGCTAGTTCTATATCTTGTATTGCAAATATTCTGTCAACCTTGTATACAGTGTAAGCTAAATCATGTATTTTACTGAATATGGGAATTGTATCCATGTTTATTGAGGGTGTCAGTAGCCTTTCTCAACCTTTTTAACATGGGGGAACTCTCAGGCAACCCCTGTTAATAACATATAGTAATAAGTAAAAGAATAAGGAATGTGGGGCACTTGGTGTATTTGGTATCCAGGGCTGCTCTATAGGACAAAATGATTTTAAGCAATAATAATGGAATGATTATTATTAATAATAATAATGGCTTGGAAAGAAATGCAGACAGTGAAAAGTGTTCGTCCCCATTGGTGATCAGTCAAGAAATTCATGCTTGCACTGGAGAATAAGTGCCCCCTTAGATTGGTGCTCATTAAAGTGCAGTTATATTGGTAGTCAGTGTGAAGAGGGCCCCTTAGATTGGTGGCTAGTGGAAAAGGGCCCCCTTATACTGGTGGTCAGTGGGAAGAATGCTAATTTTTATTGGGAGTCAGTGGTAAGGACGCGTTTTACATTGGGGGTCCATGGGAAGAATGATCCTCACATTTGTGGTGGGAAGATGATCAATACACTAGGGGTCATTGAGAAGAATGATTCAGAGCTGAAAAAAATAGTGCTGTTGGTTACCTATCAAAGAGCAGAAATTGCCTATTGCTTAATAAACTCTTAGCAACCTCAAGAACAGTGGTTCTCAACATGTGTAACCTCAGGACCCACATTTGTCCTCGGTCATTAAGTCGCGACCCAAGTCACACTGCAATGGAATGCACAGCATTAGGGTACAGCACATTGCGGTGCGGGCGGCCTACACCAGAATGCACAGTAGGAGTGATTGTGTGATGCAGTGCGTTAATCGCACGGTACTATGTGATTAACGCACTGTACTAGCGTGAATGGGCCCCAAAAACACTGACGGACGCACACAACCACAAAAACATTCTCGCACACACATACACACTAAAAAAAAAATTTTATATGTATATTTTTTTTTTTTTAGGTCCACCCAGTCTCCCTATCTTACGAAATTTGGAGTAGATCCTCAGCCTGGGATCCAGTATGGTCTGCTGTGCTGTGACGAAGCTCCATCCATATGTGCATTGCTTGTACAACTCTCTTGCACGCCCTGTGGAGGTGCTGAGAGCCAGAATGTGATGTCACTCCAGTCCAGGCACCTCTACAGGACATGCCAGGAAGCTGTAAGCAATGCATGTATGGATGAAGCTTCCTCACGGCCATATCCCCAGCCCATTCTACCTCAAGCGAAGGCTGAAGAGCTTCTAGCCTAAAAAAGTGGAACGCATGCCGCGACCCACTGAACACATGGTGGCAACCCACTTTTGGGTAACAACCCACCAGTTTAGAACCAAGGCTCTAGAGGAATCCGAGAAAGGTTGGCTTTAAAGGATTACTGTATTTTTAAATAAAGTAAAGTTATGTTTCCTGCTTAGCCCCTCCTCCCCCCCCAAAAAAAAACCCCATAAGAATCCCATCTTCTCTTAGTATATTTATTCCCCGCTGCAGACTGCTACAATCATTACAACTCATGCCCAAAATCATGCTGTTTGCCATGTCTGCAAAGGTCTATTGACACCATACACCATTAGTCTTATTGGGCTGAAATAGTAATCACTCAAGTTCAGACAGCATACTACATGCTGTGCACCATAATACAGTAAGATCTATAGATGGTCTTTATTAGGTATGCGCAGGGTCTTTGCAACATTTACTAACATGCCCATCATTTAAAGCCCAAGTCCAGCCAAAAACGTTTTGGTAAATGTTTAAAATATCTCCCAGATTTTTGTTGCGGTCTCTGTCCTGATAGTAAGGTTTCTCCCTGCTTCTTATTTATTTGATGGGGATTTGTTTCTGCTGCAGGTAGAAAAATCTAACAAGGTCAACCTTGAAAGTTACTGCATGGTAAACCCTCTGTCATAGTGTTTAGCCTCTTCAGTCAGCTTTGCCACATGTATACCCCCCGATGGGCAAGAGTTATTTTTATATTTTTGCAGTGGGTCTGTTACTTAACCCCTTCATGACTGAGGCCTTTTTTTCATTTTTTGCACCCATCTAATATTCCTAATTTTAGGCCTGAAAATGACTTAAAACCCCCAAACATTATATATTTTCTGAATGCCAAGACCCTATAGAATAAAATGGTGGTAGTTGCAAATTTTTATGTTGCGCAATATTAGCGTAACTCCTTATTAAACCCCAATATTTAGTGAAAAATGTAATTAAATGCCCCAAAACACAACAAAATACCCATTTTCTTAATGAAATATAAAAGATGAGGTTACAACGAGTAAAACGATACCCAACATGCCCAGGTTACAAATTGCGTGCATCCGTAAAACGGCGAAAAACCCCAGTACCCCAAAAAGTCCATAGAAGACGCTTTAAAAGCCCCCACAGGTCATCAATTTAGAGATACCCCAAAATACTGGCCCTAGAATTATTGCTCTCACTCCGGCGTGCGCGGCGATACCCAACATGTGTAGCGCTTTCGTCGTTTTCATACGTAGGCGCACCCGCGCGTGTGCTCACGGGGGCGGGGGACTTTAAAAAAAATTTATTATTAGATGTTTTAATTTAAAAAACTTTTATTTTTTATTTTTTTTACTTTGACTGCTATCACATAGGGGGGCTTACAAGCCCCCCCATGTGATAGCAGATGGTGGCGACAGGTACTCTTTAAGGTGATGCTGGGGGTCCAAAAGACCCCCAGTGTCACCTTTACACTAGAAATAAGCTATTGAAGTGCAGATCGCACAAGAA